AGCTGCAGCAGCAGTAAATCAAGCATTGTGGCTGAAGAAAATTCTGGTTGATTTGCATATGGAACCGACTGGAAGCATCAAAGTGTTCGTGGACAATGAAGCAGCAATAGCTATATCTCACAATCCTGTGTTTCATGGAAGAACTAAGCACTTCAAAATCAAGTTCTTTTTCTTGAGAGAAGTGCAAAAAGATGGAGATATAACTCTTGTCTACTGCAAGACGGAAGAACAATTGGATGATATATTCACTAAGCCTTTACCAGTCGGCAAGTTTCAGCTTCTTAGACAGAAAATTGGAGTTTGCAGTTTCCAAAGCAAGGAGGAGTGTTAGGAATTTGCTTTTTCAACTGCACTTTTACTTTTACTGCATTATATTAGATAAGACTTAGTCAATTAGTTGTTAGCCATTTATTCCTATCATTTAGGAGTAAGTTAGTGAGTTAGGAATATGCTAGTAGTGGGTTTACTGCTTTCTGTTTTTCATTCCAGTCTTATAAATGAAATCTGAAGACATCAATAAAAATGTTCTTCTACCAATATTCTTCTTGACTTCTCTGCTTTCTAAAACTCATACTACTAAAATTTACCAACAGAGTTGAAGGTGGTGTCATTCTCGAGCTCGTCGTCTTGGTTCCTGCTCGGCAAAAGGTAAATTCTTTTCTCTCCTTAAGTTGGTTCGAGCATTTGGATAGTATGATTTCTTTGTTGTTTTATGTGGGTTTAGTCTCATAAGTTTCTTTATTTTTATGTTGTTAAGTTTTCTGTTCTAGACTATTTATTCTTGCTTGGTATAGTTTCTACTCTATATGTTAATTTCTATTGTAGATGCTAATTTTTGTTATGTGTTATGGCTAACAGTTCACTGATTTGAAAACTTGAATATGTAAATTGGTTAATTAGATTTAAAACTAAGGTCTTAGTATTTTATTTCTTGTCTTAATAGTTTCTTAAATACCCGCAAATTCGCTCTTAATAGTTTTAGTTTTTCTTAGTTGTATCGGAAATGGATGAGAAGCTTCTTGTTTGTCTTATGCTAGACATTTTTTATTTATTTTTTAGTTTGGATGGTTAAGTCTCCTTTTAATTCCTCTGTATCATGCGGATTATTTCAAGGTTTCTTTGTTTCTCAAAATAGATGTTGGTGTCGTTTTGATTTTTAAATGTGAGCTCATTTAGCAATTTCTTTCTATTTTGTGCCTTAAACTGATTATTTGAGACGTGTTATTTAGTATTGAATGTTCTCTGCTTGTCTCCTGGTAAAGCTTCTTGTAGTAGTCTTTTGCTTTAGCAATCTTTTTTAAATCCCCTGCTTTAAAGATTGGTTTGAGTTTGAGATATTTAATTAGTTTTCTTTGTTTTAAAATCTGTCCAGTTCTCATTTTTCTGAATATAGTTGTACTCCTTCTGTTAGACTATGTTCGATTTTCATTGGTTCAAATCTGGAATTCTTTTTTTTATCGTCTTAATTATATAAAGTGGTGTTTTGTTTTTCGATTTCAAAAGAAGTTGTTGCCTGAAGGCTCTGCTTTTGGGGTCTGCTTTTGTAGTTTTGTTATAGATATGTACGTTGAGCTTGTTTTTGGTGAAAGAAGTCACTAGTCAATGATATATGAAGTCTAAGCTAAAATCGGAACGCTACTATCTTTTCTTTTATTTAACTGATGGCTGATTACGTTTGCATGTTTAGTACAATTTTGGCCATTGTAAGTATGCCTTTTGCTGGTTGTATAGATCAAAAGGTCCAGTGACTAATTAATCATTTTGTGGATTTATGAACTTAGCAATAGCTTCGGATCTGTTTCTTTTCCCCCTTTGTTCACGATAGTTTTATTTGGTTAATTTCATCCTTGTGTTTGAATGTTTAAAACTGAAGTGTCATTTTCTCGCTACATGTGCTAATTCTTCTTCCTTTTCTCTACTTTGCAGGAACTCCCTCCGAATGAGTCCAATTGGACTCCCCTCTCTTGCATCTTCCTTTCTTTGAGTCGACCTCCGCCAAAGTTATAAAGGGGAAGCTAATATTAATGGGTTAAAACCCAAATCAGTGGCAGCAGCTAAGTAGCGGAGTAACAACAATTCCAAATGGCCGAAAATTGAATTTTGGATTTAAGAATCCAATTTGATTATTGCAGCAGTAGAAGCAGTCCCAAAAGGACTAAAATTGGGAACTTTTGGACTTAAAAAGGTCCAATTTATACCGTAACAGTAAGTGAGGAGCATTTTAGGCCAAGAGCCTAGATTCTTGTTATTTATTTGTGTTATCTTGTTTCTGTTCTTATTTTAGAAATGCTAACATTTTCTTCTTATATCTAACTTAGATGAATCCTTGGGAGTTTTTTAATGGCTCTTCTATTTCGTTAGTTGTCTACTTTAAGTATTTAAATTTTCAAAACTCTTTCAAGTTAGGCAACTTAAGCTCTTAGACTAACTTGAGATTTTTCCATATTCTTTCATAGTTAGCAATTAGCTTTGAATCCACGTTGGTGAGATTGAGCTAACCATTTAGTTCAAAATCTTAACTCGGATAAAATGTTAAATTTAAAATTATTATTTTGACACTTTAGCATTTGACTTATTTCATTACTTGGAATAAGATTAGTGTATAAGTATCAAAAGGCTTTTGTTATTCTCAACAAGATTTTCACAAGTAATAAGTTATCTTTAAAAAAAATTAGCCAACTTTTAAATCCATCGGTCAATCAAGTGTTAGCAGATTCTTTAAGATGCCTAAACCCTTCCTTAGAGAATTACTTGAACCCTTTCCCGACTCTAGTTTTGTTGAAATGTTTTCTTTCATAAAACCCACTTTTAAATGGCTTTCTTAATTTTTCCTAAAAAATTAAATGGCGACTTCCAAATTATAAATTTTTCCAAAACCTAACTAAAATTTGCCAAAGTTGCGAAAATGGCTTCGAAACCTTAGTCTTCGAAATCGGGTCGTAACTAGCTACATGCACAATGCTTACCCAGAAAGTAATTTATCTACGGCCTGTTCATCGTTATAATTATGGTAAATCTTCCCCTAGAAACTTGTTTGTGCATTTCGATTACATAACAGTGAATCTGAAATCATACATAATATATTTTTTCATTCACTATAATTAATAATTGTTGTGAATATATAATATTCTTGAACAACTTTTATGTGTAATATGTAACTGAAAGATAAAGTGATCATAGCATTCGTTTAAGATTGAATAGGTTAATAAACCACTGAACTATTTTTGTTTTGCAAGTTTCATACCTAAACTATAAAATTCATATTGAATGAAATATTTAAAGTCAAATCATTTTATAGATATGGTTGTGATTTCCACAAACTTTTCTGTGATGTATTATTACACGTTATTGAAATGTCATCTCATTGAGGAATATTACATAGGCCAACTTTATAAAGACAAAACCACAAGAAGACAGGTCAATTATGCGTATACTGAGGGGTAAGGGAATTGATTGAGAAAAGTCAGTCAACTTGTATTATTAAAATCATATTTTTTTTTAATTAAATAAGTTGCATTATTTATTATATGGTCCAGAACCAAGTCAATGAGAGGTCATGCAGTCTAAGACAAGTTTGGAAAAAATTGTATGTTGCTTAACCATTTAATATAAATATAGAATTCGAGAGGTATGTTCTAATAAATAGTTGGTGGCAGTTCAAGCAGGAAATTAAAAAACCTTTCAGGCATGAAACTCGCTAAAAAAATGATACTTCAAAAGTGTTTTTTACCATTATTTCTCGTCTTTTTTGCTAAACTTGTTTTCGCTTGAAACTCAACCATAATACTCATACTGAGCTTACTAAGGTTATAATAGAGATGTTTATTGCTCGCTTATATAAATGTTACACTGTTTGTGAAAAAATGGAAGCTGGCTCAGATAGGGACAACAGTGTTTCGGGAATGATTATCGACCAAGGACAAAATTGGAAGCTGGCTCAGGTTACCAATTTTTCTTTTGGAACTCTCTGGTGTTAAGATAGGCTTGTTGGAATACTTGTGCAGGTAAAGTCCAAAGAAGTCAGTAATTAATTAGTACAAGAAAATGAAAAGTGCTCAATTCCCTAATTGTTTACAGTAATTAATTAGTACAAGGAAATCAAAAGTGCTCAATTCACTAATTGTTTCATCACATTCAAAAAACAAAATCGTGCAGCTAAACACCTTTATTTCTGATTTCTTTCAAGCATTCAAAACATAATCACTCAAATGAAATTACAAACAATACATGAATTCAAGTAGTACTATACGACAACTTTATTAAACAACAAAAAGCATCATATTAATTTGCAATTCTATGTTTCTAGAAATGCATTCTTGATTTTGTTAAGCCTCTTCACTACTTCTTTCATGGTCACTCTTGATTGTGGCGCTTCCTTTGTGCAATCTAAAGCCAATTCTATCATGGAGGCTATGCACATTTCACTTTTACTAGTGGTTTGTTCTTCCTCACAAAAAAGATTGGCATCCACAACGTCCATCATACTCCCTGAAAATGATTGTGTAATCCATTTTCTCAAGTCGAGATTTCCATTGCATATCTCTTCCTCTGTTGGCCTTCTTTTCGTCAAAACCTCCATCTACATGATGCCATAGCTATAAACATCACCACTAGTGGACACTATTCCCTCCGAGCCATATTCGTAGAAAAGGATTGCACAAAAGTTACTCAATTGAAATATAATTATGATAAGAGAAAATCAATGAGAGTAGGCTTTTTATACCTGGTGCAATGTATCCAAGAGTGCCCCAATGTCTCTGTATGTGCCATGGACTTGCTGACAGCTAAAATCTTAGAGATTCCAAAATCACCAACATGAGCGACCATATCCTCATCCAAAAGAACGTTTGCTGGCTTTAAGTCGCAATGAACTATTGGAGCGACATGACCATGAAGTCAGAGGCGTATTCAGGATTTATAGATAATGGGTGCACTATTACAATAAGGTGGATCTAAGACATAAATTTGATCAGTTATATTCTTTTTACTGAAAACCATTAAAATTTTAAAATCATAGGTCCAAAATTAACTTTTATTGATCCAAACCAGTTACAAAATCTTAGAAAGAAAACTAAAACAAGATAGATAAAAGATTCAAATTTTTAACCTCACCTAGAGAGGTGCACCCAATCATCATCGTACTACATTATATGATACTTCGAGTCTGGGTTCACGCATCTATATTTAAATATTTTAAAAAAATATAACACTACTATATATGATTTTCGGAGGGAACCATGGGTTCACGTGAACCCGGTGACCCCCTCCTATATATGCCCCTGCATGAAGTAGATATTCAACTGCCATAGCTGCATCAAGCATTACAGTGACTCTTTGATGAAGGTTCAAGTGGCGATCTTCTTTGTACAGCCAATTCTCAAGACTTCCATTGGGCATAAATTGCAGAACAAAGGCTCTTATATAGTCATTAGAACATGTAGTAATCACTGAAACAAGATTTATGTGTCTAACATTTCTCATCACTTCGCATTCGGTATCAAACCTCTTGCATACTTGCTCATTTTCCAAATCGAGAACCTTAATGGCCACTGCAGTTCCACCAAACAATGTTCCTTTGTACACAGAGCCAGAGCTTCCCTCACCTATTAAATTGGATTCATCAAAATTATTTGTTACTCGTTGAATCTCATGATAAGAAATTAATTGATGAGTCCCGATCTCCAATACCTTTTCAACATCTTTGGACATCCCTTTCTCTGTCGTTTCATTATCCAAATTGAAACGAACAAGAATATCAGAAAGGATGCAATAACCACTGGAGTAACAATTTTTAGCACAACCTCCTTAAGCTTTGATTGTTTTCTGGGATTAGTGATAGCACAAGCAGGAATCTCCAATATGTGCATTCCGCAAAGACCTTTGTTCCCGAGAAATGATTGCAAAGTGGAATTTTCAAACACTCCACTCGGTATTTCACCTTCTAAATCATTAAATGAAACATTAATGCTTTTAAGGTATGCGAGTTTTTCCAAAGACTTAGGAATAGTACCGGACAAGGCATTTAAAGACAAATTCAAGTAATCTAAGCTTATCAAGTTGGCAAAGGATAATGGAATTTGGCCAAAAAAAGAATTGTTGGACAGATCAAGATACTGCAGGTTTTGGAGTTCCCCGAATGTGCTTGGTATCATTCCTGAAAAGTGGTTACTGTAAAGATATAGTTCTACAATGGCTTTCAGTCCTCCAATATCTGATGGAACTTCTCCCTCTATTGAATTCTGTGACACACTTAGATAGAGAAGACTACTCATCTTCCAAAGGCTCAACGGAAAGTTTAAAGATAATTTGTTAGAATGCAAAGAAAGCAGTTGTAGCATTCTGGAATTAACCCAGAGAGCTTATTACCATACAGATATAATTCAACCAAATTAGATAAATGGCATATCGTCTCTGGAATATGTCCCTGCAATTTATTGTTAAATAGATACAGGCCTTGGAGTCAAAGGCGTATCCAGGATCTCAAGAACATGGGGGCACCATTATCTTCAAAATAGACAATTAATTCAATTATATAAATTTTACGGTGAGAACAAGTTGACGAGAAAGTAGGTAGTAGCAATCTTTATATAGTAATATATTAGCAAAAAACATCATTCACTTACAATTGTCCTCGACGAGTTTTCATATCAATAATGGCATCATTACTTACATTTTTAAATATACTACGCTCTATATAGCAAACTAAACAACCATTCAAAAGATCTTCATCCATCATTCACTTACAATTGTCCTCGACGAGTTTTCATATCAATAAGACAATCCGCAACAACTCTCAAGAACGTCGACAAACGCCTTCATCCTTTCTCTTTTCTCTTCTTCTCTTTTCTTCTTTTCTCTTCTTGAAATCTCAACTAAAACCCTAGGCGTAAACTAGGATTATTAAACTGAACCTAATCAGATTATACCCTTAAAATATTACTAAAAACGAATTAAATCTGATTGGGTATGGAAAAGACCAAAATACCCCTCTAAAATCCGATTTTGACTTTCCTTAACTGGACAGCCTAACTTCAAAAGGTCATATCTCACTCTTTCGAACTCGAAACTTAGCAAATTTGGTGGCGTTGGAAATATAATTCAAAGATCTTCGCTAAGATGCTTGATTCCCTTCAAGTTGAGAAACTTGCTATCACACTTTTGAGCATAGACAATAAAATTATCTACACCTAACTCATCCTGAGCTAGGAGTTATAGTCGTTTTAAGTCGACCCAAAACTCATACTTAATCATAACTTGCAAAATTTCAGATTTTACTATTTCCAATTTAATTCCTTCTCGAACTCAAGGTGCTACATCTAGTGACCTTAACACTTAAGAAATTTTAATTCCTCGAAAAAACCCTACTCACAACGAAGAATAGTTCAAGTCTTAGCTTAAATTTTTTCTGGGTTGTTACATATTTTCCCTTGCATATTACTAGCCCCATCATAACCTTGACCACGTATTTTGGATGTACATAATGAGTGATCCAAAAGCAAAGAATAAATTGTCTTTTTAAATGATTGAGAATATGTATCATTTACGTGGACAATACCCAAGAATCACTCTATCACCATTCCACTTTTGTTGACATATCTCAAAATTAGAGCCATTTGCTCCTTATGAGAAACATCATTTGATTCATCAACTAATATTGCAAAATAGTCACCGTCCAAGTCTTCAATGATAGCCTTAGTTGTTTCTTTAGCACAAGCCTCCACATTATCTTTTTGAATTGTCGGACAAATCATCATATCATTTTGTGGAGCATTACCTAATATTACTCTTCCCACATCAAAACTTCTATTCCCATACCATTTCAAAAGTTCAAGAAAAGCACCCTTATATTCAGAACCTTCACTTTCATCATGTCCACGAAATGGAAATCCCGATGTCAAAAGAAATCTTGCTACATCAATTGAGGCATTTAAACGCATCCGATAATCACTTCTTGCCTTTTCACTTTGCTTGTCAAAAGAAGATTGGATCAATTGTCGTTGGTTTATCAAATCTTGCATCCTATTGAAACATTTATGATGGATACTATTTACCTTACCAACATGTTTTTGAATCTTTCTAAAGCTTTGTTCCAACACCTAAAACCAGCTCTTGTAAATGAATCTCCGACAGTCTTTCAAGTTCAATCTTGAACAAATAACAACACAAACAAAATGCCGCGTCTGCTTTAATGCTATATTCCAACCATTGAGATCTTCTCTTAAACCAAGTTGGTCGAAATTGACGCATTTTATCTCCAAACTTAGTTTTAGGGAAGATATGATCAACAAGTTGACATGGCTTTTTTTGAATGTAATACCTCCTTACCGCATCTCGAATATTAGGACCATAAGATGAAATAGGCATTCGGTCTTTGGGATCTGCTTCAAGAGATTTAAAATCAAGCATATTATCCGTATTTAAAAGTGGAAAAGAATTTATATGTCTTTGAACTTCCGGAGCAACTTGTGAACTCACAAATGGTTTATTAGAGCTAGAACTTGGTTGGCCATCTTTAGGCTTTGGTAACTTGATGAGAAACTTATCCATTTGTGATTTGATGATTTGAATGTAAGAATTATTTTACCTACAAAATTAAATATTCACACTTCTATTCAATCTTATCAAAACAAAATAATTTTTAAAAAATATTAACACAAATAACAAGTTTACTAATAAAAGAATCACAATTCTTAGATAACTATTTAGAAATCAAGAAATTCTTATAAATTTAATTATTCAAGCAATCAAATAATGGCACCACTTCATAAATCAAGAAAAACATATAAAACAAATGAAGTACATTAATAAATAATTTATTTATTTTTAGATAGCATACCTTGTTACTTGTTCTCAAATCCCACTTCTACTTCACCATGAACAACAAAGTGGAATGAAGCCAAAAGAAGAACAATATGATGTCTTTACTCTTTTTTACCTTTCAGATTAGGACTTTGAAAAGTCAAAAGAAAAAGTTAAAATAAATAAATAAGAAAAACGTCTAAAGAAGGAAAGGAGAAAAAGAAAGTAAAAATATAATTTGACTTTATTGACATTTCTAGCTTAAGGTCTAGACATAGCTAATGCAACCTAAAAATATGGGTATTTGGACCTCTTTTTATTTATAAATTATTAAAAAGATCTATGAAAAGTGGCACATTTTGTTATATTAATTAAAAATTAAAAATATTAATGTGGATATAAAAATTTGAACCACAAATCTATAAGTTATGCACCCTCTATTTGTACATACTTATCAATATACTAGAGTATTCTTTTTAACCTTGGGTTCACCAATACAAATTTGAAAAGATAATTAGAAAATAGTAGTATTATATAGGGGTTAGGAAGGGGAGGATGGGTGCATGTGAACCCACTCCCCTTCATGTACATACGCCTCTGGTACTCTCCCGATATCAGTTGATCATTTTCCTTTTTACAAGCATACTAAGTATCATAAATAAGAAGTTAATTTTATTAATTCATTCTTTAAAAAAATTCTTGAAAATTTAATAAACAAATGTGAACACTATAAAAAATAATTAATTGCATGGATAATATAGGAAAAAAAATTAATGCTTTCTTCATTTAGAAAGATGAACAACTATATATTTTTAATAAAATGATCAACTAATATGTAACAAAACTACCGATGGAATAATTACAACTAAAGTGAAAAAAGAGTTCTTCACGAGAAATACTTCCGTTTGAAATATTCATTTATTTCTTTTGTAACATTTACATCCAGACAAAAGTGAAAATATGATTATCTTTTTTTAATTCTCCAACATTATACTTTCCTTTTACTTTTTCATGAGAAAAAAGGTAAGATGCCTATATATGGTTTAAGTAAAGAATAAATTGGAAATTATGGCCCATCTTACCCTCACATTCAAGTCAAGTATTGAACTAATTTATTTATTTTTTTATAAAAAATATACTTATAAATAGAATTGAAGTTATTGGTTAATTTGTCAATTTCCATCTTTTGAAAAAAACACTTATAATTAATATTTACTCCAATCAAGGAACTGCATCAGCTAAATTCCAACCTATCAGGTACTTTTCTTTTTAGCTTTAAGTTATATTTGATTAATACAAAATAGTTAGAACTAGTAGTAAACAAATTGTATAATTACTATGCTCCTATATGTATGACCAATATTATCAATTAAAAAGATATGTACATTTATTCTATTTTAATTGATAAAATGAAAAAGGGTCAAAATTGCCTCTAAACTATGTGAAATAGACTATTTATACCCTTCATTACATTTTGGGATCAAAAATACCCTCGTCGTTATCCCAGGAGACCACAAATACCCTTAAGAGTTAACACCCCAAATTATTAGTGATGTGGCAAGCCACTTGGGACTAATCCCTCCACCTAAGCATTGCCAACTAAGATTCACTATAAAAGAACTTGACCTTTAGTGGCGAGAAAGTCGCCACAAAATCTCAAAATATTGCCACTAAAGGTTATGAGTGATTTTTAGTGGCGACTAAAGCTCCAACAACCATTCACTAATAAAACCTATTTTTTCAACAAAAAAAATATGATAATTAATTTTATATTGCAACCTAATTTTCTAAAATAAATAACTTGCAATATCAATATTAAAAAACATCCAATATTATTACGAAAAATCATCAAAATTACTTCTCGATTTAAATCTCCTACTATATAATAATGCATCATTGTACATTTTATACATTTACATATGACATAAAAATAAAACATATAGTGTCTTAAAACTCCTACTTAATCGATATTTTAATTTTTTAAAAACAATGAAGAAAAAAACACAAAATTAGAATTTAATGTTAAAAACTTTTAGTGACGATTTTCTGGGCTTTTGTGGCGACTGTTGTCGCTGCTAAAGGTCTAGTTCTTTTTTAGTGAATCCTAATTGGCAACACTTAGGTGGAAGAATTAGTCCCATGTAACTTGCCACGTCAATTAAAAATTTGGGGTGTTAACTCTTGAGGGTATTTGTGGTCTCTTAGGATAACAGCAGGGGCAATTTTGATCCCAAAATGTAACGAAGGGTATAAGTGGTCTATTTCACATAGTTCAGGGGCAATTTTGACCCTTTTCCGTTGATAAAATGATATTAAGAAGAAAAAAATAGTTCTTTCTACTTATTTATTAATTAAAGTTATTAGGGAAAAAAATAAGAATATGATTCTTTAAGAAAATAAGAATACGGTTCAAGATTGAAACGTATACCATAACTCAACCACAAAATTAACTTATTGATATTGTTATCAGATTAACACTCGGTGAAGTTAATAAGACTTGGGTATTATGAAGAATTGACTTGGTTTATTGTCAGATGATTTGTTCACTATAAATAATATTTTGTTAGGTTTTTAAAAAAAGAATAACTTATCAAAAGTTGTACTTTAAAATTTGTAGTTCCTTCTTGCCTTATCTTTTACTAAGAAATTAATCTAAATAAAAGCCTTTTGAGATAATATCTCAAATGGTCACTCAACTATGAATATCTTTCTCAAAAGTCACTCAACTATTGATAGTTTTCTCAGAAAGTCACTTGACTTTATTTTGTAAATCAAAAGTCACTCAACTATACTTACGGACGTCTCCGCACCGATATGCAGGACTCTACTAGACGTTAGCTCTGTACAAGTGAGACCGATAAACCTGGGGCTCTGATACCAACTTGTCACGACCCAATTTCTCAAGTCATGATGGCACCTACTACCCACCAGTAGGTAAGCCAACCCGTAAACCGGAACAACAAGTAATGGGTCTGAGGGTAGAAACTAAACAAGAGTAGGCAAATAACAATATAAACAGGCGGAAGCAAACCAAAAACATATATACAAATAAAGATCCCTCCCAGAACCTGGAAGTCACTAGTACAGAGCTACTAACAAAATGAGTACAAGTCCCAAAAGTGGACAACAGAGACTGGACTGTCTCGAAAGGTAAAAGACAAGTCTATATATACAGATGGAGACTGAAATAGTACAAAACGTCGTGTGCTCACTCCCGTCTCCGGATCAGTCTGCTCCAAGCTCGATCAACGCTGGCTTCTAGTGCCCGGACCTGCATCACGAAATAGATGCAGAGCGTAGCATGAGTACCAAAACAACAGGTACCCAGTAGGCATCATAGGCCGACTGAACTTGAAAAGTAAAGGCAGTATGAAAAGAAGGAATAACACAAACCGAAGTCAAGAACTAAAATCTAACTAACAATGAAATGCACACGAGTGTATAAAGAACTAACTAGAGTAATCTACAAGCTAACTACACCTAACTGGACCCCCATAAGCCCAGAAGGTACACTCGTGCGCAAGTTAAATAAAAACCCGAACGGACCCCCATAAGCCCGACGAGTACACAGAATAACTATAACTAAAGAGAATTGCATAAAAGAACCCATGAACGAAGAACACGAACCAGAACCTCAACCCCAATTAGTAAAATCTGACAGTACGGAGGCCGGACCTCGAACCGGATGCTCCATATAAGTACCCAAGTAACTAATCACCAGTATTAAGTATATAAAACCCGAACGGACCCCCATAAGCCCGACGAGTACACAGAATAACTATAACTAAAGAGAATTGCATAAAAGAACCCATGAACGAAGAACATCGAACCAGAACCTCAACCCTAATTAGTAGAATCTGACGCAATAGAGGCCGGACCTCGAACCGGATGCTCTATGATTTTGCCAATGTAACTTCTGAAGGAGTCTCAATCGATCCGTACTTATAAATGTCCGTGAAATGTCGTCCACACATAGCCAATCAATGAAAGTCCTTGGAACCAAATCGAAAATCTAATTCAAATCGCGAAGTAGAACTAGTATTGCCGATGCAACTCGTGAAGCCGCAGTATCGGAGAAAATAAGGATAACTATTATCGGAAAAAGCGTATCGCCTAGATAAGGCCCAAACTATCAGACTCAAGTCTGCTATATCAGTCTACAGGGATCTAAGTCAGCCGAGCGACATCGGGGTAAAACTAAGGCCTATCGAATCCGAATCATGTATTTCTAAGGCAAGCCCTAGTCAAACCTAAGCTAAGGTCCAACATGCTTCAAATAAACAGTAATTAAGCATGCAAGTACTCCACATAGCGAGGAGGGTCCGTTAATAACACAAAGCATGCTCACAGTTACCAAACCGTAGCCTACCTGTAGGCCAATCACACGCGCTCCAAAATCACTTCTCCGGAGCTTTCCCTTTCCGAACGTCCTCAAAACGCTTCCCCGCTATCAAAAATAGAATCACAACGTTATTACATTCGTTTAGACACTAAAATCACAACAAACGGAGACGGGTCAATTTTGGAGTCAAAACGGGAATCGTGGGACCCGCGCTGGAAATTCTGAAATTAACCCCAAAAGTGGGTCCTAACCAGTTTTCCCCCAGTTCATATCCCAAAATGGGACACAATTCGGGGCTCGGGAACAACACACTACCAACATACAACCAAAACCCAAATTTTCTCAAAGATAGAAATGGGACAGCAGTGTATTTACCAAAAACGAGCAGTCTACAGTAAAATCTAACAACACCACAACGTTCTCCTCGAAAAACCACTCAAGATTACCTCAAAAATCACCAAAATCGGATCTACAATGGCTAAGAAAACAAGTCTCAAAATTTCCAAAATCAAACTCACAAAAAGAGGTCTGGCAGCAGGTATTTTTTCGAAAATTACCTCAAACGGGGACTCCAAATCACTATCCAAGCTCACCAACATGTTGCCCTCGAAAAAATCTCACAACTTTGCCTTTTGAATCACCCAAATCGGTTGAGTGATGAGAGAGTTGTGAGGGTTTGGAATTTGGGAAATGTTGCTGATTTTCTGCAATAAATTGCAGAAAATCTGCAACACTTCCAAACTTAAAATTCCGACGGGGTACTCCGATCTCGTTCGGAACCCCGTGCACGCAAACGAGATATGCAACCATACCAAATTCGATATTCCAGACTCAACGGCGCAGTCGAAATTTCCATCAGAGGTCATTTCGATAAAAAGTGGGTACCACTTCCAAAAGCCATTTAAGTCAAAACCCACAAAAAAGGCTCGGAAAGATATCGAAAACCTCCAGACACAAAGAAGGGTCAATCTAGACCAAACTCGACATTCCGGAGCTAACCACGCTGACGGAATTTCCATCCGAGCTCGTTTTCCAAGAATGTTGACCAAAGTCAACCCTAAGCCAAATTTCAAAGGTTAAAACGCCTAATCGCACCAACTCACACTGAAAACCTCGGGAGTCATGCCGACCATGCTTCTAGCCTAAAATGACCCTTCCGGAGCTGATGGAATCGTCAGAATTGGATTCCGATGTCATCTTCTTGAACTTTTGATCGAAAATGATCGTTTAAAGTTCATAAGCTCCAAAACACTAAAACTCAAATTATGACCAAACGAACGACCAGGTGACCGAACTGTCAGTCCCAGCAAGCCATAAATGACTTGGGGTCGCTATAGAAATGCTCTAAACGACACACAGAAGGCAAAACAAGAAAATGACCAAGAGGGTCATTACATATGTGTAGTTATCTTAGAAAATCACTCAACTAGGAATAATTATCTTAGACAGTCACTTAACTTTATTTGGTCTATGTTTCACAGAAGCCAAGGGCGGGAGAAATCTTGCTTGACATAGCCAAACAAGTTGGACTGACGAAAGAAGAAAGGAAAGATAACTTGGAAGGCAACCTAAGATCACTCTTGAAAAGAAAAAGGTATGTTATCCTCTTAGATGACATTTGGAATGTTGAAATTTGGGATGATCTAAAACTTGTTCTTCTTCCTGAATGTGATTCAAAAATTGGCAGTAGGATAATTATAACCTCTCGAAATAGTAATGTAGGCAGATACATAGGAGGGGATTTCTCAATCCACGTATTGCAACCTCTAGATTCAGAGAATAGTTTTAAACTCTTTACCAAGAAAATCTTTACTTTTGATAATAATCATTCAGTTGACTTGGTAAATATTGGTAGAAGTATAGTTGGTAGATGTGGTGGTATACCACTAGCCATTGTGGTGACTGCAGGCATGTTAAGGGCAAGAGAAAGAACAGAACGTGCATGGAACAGGTTACTTGAGAGTATGAGCCATAAAGTTCAAGATGGATGTGCTAAGGTATTGGCTCTGAGTTACAATGATTTGCCCATTGCATTAAGGCCATGTTTCTTGTACTTTGGTCTTTTCCCCGAGGACCATGAAATTCGTGCTTTTGATTTGACAAATATGTGGATTGCTGAGAAGTTGATAGTTGTAAATAGTGGCAATATGCGAGAAGCTGAAAATTTGGCGGAGGATTTCCTAAATGATTTGGTTTCAAGAAACTTGATTCAAGTTGCCAAAAGGACATATGATGGAAGAATTTCAAGTTGTCGCATACATGACTTGTTACATAGTTTGTGTGTGGATTTGGCTAAGGAAAGTAACTTCTTTCACACCGAGCACAATGCATTTGGTGATCCCAGCAATGTTGCTAGGGTGCGAAGGATTACATTCTACTCTGATAATAATGCCATGAATGAGTTCTTCCGTTCAAATCCTAAACCTACGAAGCTTCGTGCACTTTTCTGTTTCAACAATAACAGTTGCCTATTTTCTCATATGGCTCACCTTAGTTTCAAATTATTGCAAGTGTTGGTTGTAGTCACGTCTCGAGATCGTTATCAGCATGTAATTACTATCCCAAACAAAATTGGGAACATGAGTTGCCTACGCTATGTGCGATTGGAGGGGAGAATTAGAGTAAAATTGCCAAATAGTATTGTCAAGCTCAAATGTCTAGAGACCCTGGATATATTTCATAGCTATAGTAAACTTCCTTTTGGTGTTTGGGAGTCTAAAAAATTGAGACATCTTTGTTACACAAAAGAATGTTACTGTGTCTTTATTTATATTGTATTGTTTGACTAACCTTGATTATCTTATGGTTTAATTTAATTAAATTCCCAAAGACGGCGATTTCATGTTATTTTCCAAATTAAAGTATATATATTTTATTACTTAGCTCTTACTTTATTATTTGTCTCGTCACTTAAATTATTCCCCTTTAGAAAAATTATCCCTTGGTTCATTTCCCCTTAAGATAATTAAATGACATTAATAAAAATAAAGTGATGAAAATAATAATAGTAATAAATAAATAAGTTAAAATAAATGAGTTCATTTACTTAGTTAAAATTTTTAAAAATAAGTTAAAGTAAATGAGTTCTTTTACTTAGTTAAAATTTCAAAATTAGTCAAAGTCGTTATGAGTTCTTTTACTTAGTTAAAATTTTAAAATTAGTCAAAATCATTTTTAGTCAAATCGCCGGTCAACCGCAAGTTAGCGGGCATTTCGAGGGTCCTAACACCTTCTCGGAATGTACATTGAACTCGAACCCTTTTTCGATTGATTTTATCTGTTTGAGTCTTTTGAAAACCTTAAGTTTTTTCTTGATTTTTATTAAAAATTTAGTGGCGACTCTGTTCTTTTGGAAATTCGATTTCTCTTAAATCATAAGTTTGATCGATTTTTCGAAACTCAGTCATTTTTTCTTTTTCTTTTATATTTTCGAGTAAAACAGTCTTGCTTTCTCTCTCTCACACACATGTTCTCCATAGTAATTTTTTAAATGTGGCTATGGATTTTTATTGGTTTAGTGCTTTCTATTTCGAAATGTTTAATCTCTTATTCTCTTTTTGGAATAGGGAAGCAGCTCTTTGAAAAGTACAATGCAGCGAAATATCTCTGGCAGTGGACAATATTTTCAATATCCCTATGTGATTTATGTGTTCATGGTGCAAACTACGAAGTACGAACACAGATAGAAAAGTGATACATTGTGTTAATCATGTAGCATAGAATGGTGGACAATTAGTAATGAGCCAATGATACATACACTTGGGTTTGATTTTGCAAATGTATTAAAGGAAGTAATAAAAAAGTAGTCATTTCAGTAATAGGTAAGTGCGATATATATGATTGTATGATATATATGATTGTATGTAGGGGTGTCATAAGAACATGAAAAATCGACTGAAGCAATCGAATCAAACCGATTTATTATATAAATATTTAATAAAATCGTGGATTTTTGTTTAAGTGTGTACTGTGCCAAACAATTGGGATGAACTTTTTAATTTTTAAAATAAAATCAAAAACCTTTCGAACCGAACAATCTTAGTATGCAAATATATTTATATATAAACAATATGTTATATTTTATATAAAATATTTTCTAACATTTTTCCAATATAAATATAGCCAAGGTCGTCGATCTTTGGTGATATATATAGGGAAAATGCATAAGTACCCCCATTCTATGCCCAAAATCTCTGAGACACACCTAACTTTTACTAAGGTCCTATTACCCCCTTGAATTTATTTTATATATAATTTTCTACCCCTTTTCGGCCTACGTGGCACTATCCTTGAAAAAATTGTCAACACGCGCTAGGCCCACAAGATAGTGCCACGTATATATATATATATTCTAGTGGGATAATCATATACTGCTTCAATCGGCTGACGACTCTAAAAATTCTTTATTCTTGTTTGAAAATGAAATATATAATAAAGATTTAACAATTGTTTTAAGGCAAAAGTACTCATTACCCCCCCTGAACTTGAAGCTTTTTATACGGTGTACACCTAAACTAAATTCCGTTTTAATTACCCCCCCGAACTTGTTTATTCCTCCGTCGCGTACACCTTTTCGTCCACCTGGTGTAGAAATTGACAACACACTCTACTAGGCGCGTGAGGAAGTGATTTTTTGCCACATCACAAAGCTACAACGGTAAAAAAAAACAACGTAAAATCTCCATTTTTGTTTAATATTTGGCATATTTTAAATGAAAAATAGGGCAAAATGTAAATGAAAAGTAAAGGAAACAAAGATTAACACTTACTTGGTAAGAATTTCAGACAAATTTGAAATTCAAGGAGTTCCGCGAAATCAACCCTTATTCAAAAATAACTTTTAAACGATGAATTTAAAATTTAAGAATATTTTTTTTTGTAATATTAATTTATCCAGGTGGAAATCCACATCACCAATTTAGACAGCTGTCGCGCGCGTGTAGTCCCAACAGGAGTAAGTGGAAAAAAAAGGTGTACGCGACGAAAATGTAAATGAAAAGTAAAGGAAACAAAGATTAACACTTACTTGGTAAGAATTTCAGACAAATTTGAAATTCAAGGAGTTCCGCGAAATCAACCCTTATTCAAAAATAACTTTTAAACAATGAATTTTAAATTTAGGAAATTTATTTTTTGCAATATTAATTTATCTAGGTGGCTATTATATATCCAGGTGGAAATCCACATCACCACTTTTGCCAGCTGTCGCGCGCGTGTAGTCACAATAGGACCGGGTGGACGAAAAAGGTGTACATAATGGAGGAATACACAATAGGAGCAGGTGGACGAAAAAGATGTACGTGATGGAGGAATAAACAAGTTCGGAGTTAATTAAAATGGAATTTAGTTTAGGTGCACACCGTATAAAAAGTTTCAAGTTCAAGGGGGTAATGAGTATTTTTGCCTTGTTTTAAGGGACAATGGTCTGAAAAATACCCCAACTTTGGTCGGATTTGTTGTTGCGATACTAAACTTTTATGAGGACCTATTATCTCCCTAGACTATTTAATACCGTATTTTTTACCCCCTGAACTATTTAATAGTGTATTTTAAAGGTATATATGTGTCCACGTGGACACATTACTATTTATAATTTTGCATTATTTTTTATGTCCACGTGGGCAAATATATATGTTTAAAATACGGTATTAAATAGTCTAGGGAGGTAATAGGTCCTCATGAAAGTTTAGTATCGTAACAGCAAATTCGACCAAAGTTGGAATATTTTTCAGGCCCTTATCCCTTGTTTTAATGAACTGAAATATAATCGGACGAAGGAGATTCCAGAAGCTTCGGTGTGAACTCATCTTTGCCATTGAATTTTTCGCGTAGTACTGCATCAATTGTCTGACTTTTAACGTGGATCCAAAGATTGTCATTAAGGTGTCAATGATTGTAATAAAAAAATATAATTTGAGGCTAATAGCACAAAAACACACTACCTCAAGGAACTTTCGTAACACCTTAATACACGAAACCTTTTAACTTGTGTCCAGATGTGTTAATACTTGTATATATATATATATTTATAAAATCAAAATTTGACCTCGTAATTTTTCGACGAAGGGCATCGGGTAACGGTGGGTCCGCCCCTGCATGCTTGAAAACAAAATACCAGCTAATATGATTAAGAAAAGATGAATTATTGTATTTAATATGAACGGAGTAGTTGTTTCTGTCCATTTGTTCTTTCTTTTTCATCTACTTGACATTATTATTAGTAGACTTGGCCGTTGACTCCAACACCTAAAGCAAATACTGCATCTTTCTTATCCTTTTACCAATAATTGATCATCTTTTAATTTTCTCTTACTTTCCCTTGCTAATCCTCACATTTAGAAAAAAGAAATTTAAGGAAAAAAGAGATGGCTGAAATTCTTCTCACAGCAGTCATCAATAAATCAATAGAAATAGCTGGAAATGTACTCTTTCAAGAAGGAACGCGTTTATATTGGTTAAAAGAGGACATAGATTGGCTCCACAGAGAAATGAGACACATTCGATCATATGTAGACGATGCAAAGGCCAAGGAAGTTGGAGGCCATTCAAGGGTCAAAAACTTATTAAAAGATATTCAACAACTGGCAGGTGATGTGGAGGATCTATTAGATGAGTTTCTTCCAAAAATTCAACAATCCAATAATTTCATTTGTTGCCTTAAGACGGTTTCTTTTGCGGATGAGTTTGCTATGGAGATTGAGAAGATAAAAAGAAGAGTTGCTGACATTGATCGTGTAAGGACAACTTACAACATCATGGATACAAGTAACAACAATAGTGATGATTGCATTCCATTGGACCAAAGAAGATTATTCCTTCATGCTGATGAAACAGAGGTCATCGGTTTGGATGATGACTTCAATAAGCTGCAAGCCAAATTACTTGATCATGATTTGCCTTATGGAGTTGTTTCAATAGTTGGCATGCCCGGTCTAGGAAAAACAACTCTTGCCAAGAAACTTTATAGGCAAGTCCGTGATCAATTTGAGTGTTCGGGACTGGTCTATGTTTCACAACAGCCAAGGGCGGGAGAAATCTTACATGACATAGCCAAACAAGTTGGACTGATGGAAGAGGAAAGGAAAGAAAACTTGGAGAACAACCTACGATCACTCTTGAAAATAAAAAGGTATGTTATTCTCTTAGATGACATTTGGGATGTTGAAATTTGGGATGATCTAAAACTTGTCCTTCCTGAATGTGATTCAAAAATTGGCAGTAGGATAATTATAACCTCTCGAAATAGTAATGTAGGCAGATACATAGGAGGGGATTTCTCAATACACGTGTTGCAACCTCTAGATTCGGAAAACAGTTTTGAACTCTTTACCAAGAAAATCTTTACTTTTGATAACAATAATAATTGGGCCAATGCTTCACCAGACTTGGTAGATATTGGTAGAAGTATAGTTGGAAGATGTGGAGGTATACCTCTAGCCATTGAGGTGACCGCAGGCATGTTAAGGGCAAGAGAAAGAACAGAACGTGCATGGAACAGAGTACTTGAGAGTATGGGTCATAAAATTCAAGATGGATGTGCTAAGGTATTGGCTCTGAGTTACAATGATTTGCCAATTGCATTAAGGCCATGTTTCTTGTATTTTGGCCTTTACCCCGAGGACCATGAAATTCGTGCTTTTGATCTGACAAATATGTGGATTGCTGAGAAGTTGATAGTTGTAAACTATAGTGGTAATAGGCGAGAGGCTGAAAGTTTGGCAGAGGATATCCTAAATGATTTGGTTTCTAGAAACTTGATTCAAGTTGTCGAAAGGACATATGATGGAAG